AAAGGATTCGACACTTATGAAGACAAGTGAATTTCCTATGTGTTTCATAGTTAGTAATTCAAAGTTCTTGGCCAAGGCGGGATGAATAGAGATTCATACACGAATTACTAAATATGAAATAGAATCATAGTTATTAAATCAATTTGGGTTTCGACTAAATCATACCCATGATTTAATCGGGAAATTGGATGTCGAAAGGATTCTACATGTATGTACTTGTAATCGAAATAGGTTTACTCGTTATTCACTTAATACTAGATTCATGCTACTTGCTAGGTGTTCCCATGATATGTGGGTTCTTGAATTAAAGGGGTTAATTCAAGAATAAGAGTTAATAAGATTAACTCAAATTACAAAGAGTTGTAAACCCACTACTAGTATTAATTGTGAACCTAAAAGGTCACACCAATGTTTGTATAAAGACAAATATTAGTATTTCTAAAGAGTTAGAATTAATTGACAAAATCTAATTTTGATTAGATGTCAATTAAAGAAATATATGAAATTAATCAATTAGATTGATTAATATTAATTTAGTGACTAATGTAATTACTAAATTAATAGTTGGATTTTAAAATTGGATTTTAAAATTCAAATCCATATAATAATATGATTATTATATGAAAGGAGAATATTAAATATAATATATATGTTTACAAATGATTTTAAAAGAGTTTAAAATTATTTGTTTATTATTATAATTGATTTTTAATGTTGATTAAAAATTAAATAATAATGATAATAATATAATAATGACAAGATGGAGTCTTGCAATTATTATATTGTTGTATTAACTTGTAGAAATGAGAAAAAGATTTTTTAATTTTGCTTGTCAAAATTATTAAAGACTTTTGTAACATTTCTTGTAAAAGTTATACAAGTCATATATATTTTATTGCTAAAAAGTTTAGTATAAATATGGGCATGGTTGATGTTCATTTTTGTAAGAATTTGTGTTAACATTTTCACTTATAATTTGAGAGATAAAGAGTTAGTATTTCATTTTTGTAAACAAGAATTGTTCTTGTAATATTTTCCTATTTATATATTTCTATACTAGGTTCTAGGCGGTCAATTGGATCCGTTCTCTCAGTTTTTAGTTCCGGGTTGTATTATTCAGCCTTGGGCTGCTTTATTGCACTGTTGTGCATTTTGATATATAATATTTCTATCGTTTCGGAAAAAAAAAAATATTTCTATACTAAGTTATAAATCGAGTGAGTTCCTACTAGCGAAGGAGTCATCTCGTAGTCGGAAG